ATCTGGAGGTGACTGTGGCATGGATTACTGTGGCCAGGTCAGGGCAAGACAGGTAGGGAGCCAGTTGGCTAACTTGGTGTAGCTGGAAAAACGCCAGCCTGGCAGCATTTGTGATCTGGGCCTCCATTAATAGGGAGGTATCCAGAGTCACACCCAGGCTCTTGACAATTGGTGCCGGTGCTAAGGGCACCCCATCAGGAGCCCGGGAGTCAGCACCCCAAACCTGAATCCCCCCCACCTAGCCACAGAACCTCTGCCTTAGCAGATTCAGTCCCAGCCGGCTCTGTTTCAACCATCCCATCGTGGCCTCCAGCCCCTCAGCCAGATTTGCTGGGGAAGCATCTGGCCGGCCACCCATCAACAGATATAGCTGGGTGTCATCGGCCTACTGGTGACACCCCAGCCCAAAACTCTGCACCAACTGGGCGATGGGGGAGCATGTGGATGTTAAACCACACTGGAGAGAGGGTTGCCCCCTGAGGAACCCCACACTAGTGGAAGCCTAGTTGACACACCTTGGAGAAATGTTGTGAGCTCCAGCCTCCACACTGATAGTCTCAAAGGGTAGCCATGTTGGCCTACAGTGGAACAGCTGCATATGAGTCCAGTACCACCTTATAGACCAGGAAGATTTTCAGGGTGTAGAGCTTTCAACTCTGATGAAGGGCATTTTGACTTTTCAAAGCTCATTCCCTGAAATTCTTATGGATCTCTAAGGTACTACTGGACTTGTATCTAAAACACACACACACCCCCATTGTACCTCATTGTCCCAACCATCTTAATTCTCCATTAACTAGTTTAACAGCAGCCAGCAGAGAAATCTGATGGCCCCAATGGGGTGCACTAGATCGGGAACTTTTTCTACGAAACGACCCCTGTGTGAGCTCCAGTCTCCACACTGATAGTCTCAGAGGGCCGCCATGTTGGCCTACAGTGGAACAGCTACAGATGAGTTCAGTAGCACCTTAGAGACCAGGAAGATTTTCAGGGTGTAGAGCTTTCAACTCTGATGAAGGGCATTTTGACTTTTCAAATCTCATTCCCTGAAACTCTTGTGGATCTCTAAGGTGCTCCTGGACTTGTATCACCGCCCCCCCCCATTGTACCTCACTGTCCCAACCATCTTAATTCTCCATTAACTAGTTTAACAGCAGCCAGCAGAGAAATCTGATGGCACCAATGGGGTGCACTAGATCGGGAACATTTTGGCCTGTGTACTGGGGTGAACGAAACCACGCACTGTTTATTGCACAAACGCAGGCTCTGGGCTTGTGTCTCACCACTCTGCTCAGCCAAACTGAAAGCCTTCCTCCAGTGCAAGGATGCTTCTTCCAACAGAAGACCCTCTTCCAATAGAGAAAAGCACCTTAGTCCAGAGAAGGCTTCAAGCTTGGCTCAGTAAAATGGTAAGACACAAGCCTGTCCCTGTAAACCTTGGAACAACCACCACTGGCTCCCAAAGCCCTTCTGAAGAGCTACCATCTGGTCCCCAAAAAGCCAAACAGAGAAGCAAAAATCTTTTAAAAGGAACAAGGGCAAGTAGTATCCATTACAAGAGGACTTGGCTGGAGGCATTTCATAGGGCAGCTTTTGTCTGGGTGACTACAGGACAAGCAAGCCAGTCACACATTTGCTTCCCTTGTTATGTCGGTCCCGACAGTAGATACAACTGTGTTAAGAGAACCCTTGGGCTTAGTCACCATGGTGTGAATGGAATGAGAGGAGGTATATTATGTGATGCCTCTGGAGGTCCGAAGTCCAGAAATCCTAGTCCTCAATTGCCTTCCTGGCTCTAGTCTAGAACCACCAGGTAGAAGCTGAAATGGCCTGAAAAGGGGGGCAGGGCTTCAGAACGTCCATCCAGCTGCTACACAGGGATTTAAACAGGCTTCTGCCCTTCACTTAAGTCTCTAATGCACCTCACACATTCACAGCAGGAGTTCCTCCCCTTCCCACAGCTGCCATTCCAATGTTGCTGAACTGCAGGCTGTGGAAGGTCGGTAGTTCAGCAGTTCGAGACCCGAGTGTGCCGCATGATGGAGTATCCATTACAAGAGGACTTGGCTGGAAGCATTTCATAGGGCAGCTTTCGTTTGGGTGACTACAGGACAAGCAAGCTTTTGCTTCCCTTGTTAAGTCAGTCCCGACAATAGATACAACTGTGTTAAGAGAACCCTTGTGGGCTTAGTCACCATGATGTGAATGGAATGAGAGGTGGTATATTATGTGATGCCTCTGGAGGTCCGAAGTCCAGAAATCCTAGTCCTCAATTGCCTCCCTGGCTCTAGTCTAGAACCACCAGGTAGAAGCTGAAATGGCCTGAAAAGGGGGGCAGGGCTTCAGAACGTCCATCCAGCTGCTACACAGGGATTTAAACAGGCTTCTGCCCTTCACTTAAGTCTCTAATGCACCTCACACATTCACAGCAGGAGTTCCTCCACTTCCCACAGCTCCCATTTCAATGTCGCTAATAAGACAGGGGAGACACAACAAAGCCTCCTCTTTCTACCACGTTGAACAGCTCTCATAACGCCCCCCTGTATGTTCCAAAACACATAAGTGAGGCTCCTCTAGCTTGTCCGTCTCTATATGGACTTCCTTTTCTGCCACACAACTCTTTGCAATACATGATTTGTCACAGAACAAGCATCAGTAGGCATAGAGAGTCAAGTTTGTTCCTGCAATTGAGCAGCAGCAAAGCGTATGTCCTTTCGCGACATTACAAGTGTGTGACTCAGGCAGAGTCACTAGAAGTGCAAACAGAATCTGATCCCATACCATGATTAACAAAAACATTAAGTTCCAGACTTCCAGTTCCAGTGCAAAGGAAGCTCCTCTGCTTCATCCCAGCACTAAAAGTGGGAACCAATCCATGCGCAGACAGGGCAACCACCACTAGTCTGCAATCCTTCTTAAATCACACACATCGCTATGGAAGCTACTGTGGGACCAGCAGAGGTTTCCAGCTCGACAGCTACAGGAGGTAAAAAGGTAGAACTGAAAAAAGAAATGGAGAACTCTTTCGCTGGTTGGGTAGTTTTATTCGGCAACCTCCTTACCCAAACTAATCAAGCCCCAGAACTGTTATGTCATTTGTGCTCTTTTCCCACTTCCCCAAACTGTAAATCCCGTTGCTATCATCACAAAGGTGGCTGACCTACACTGGGATGAACAGAATCCAGCTGTTATTGTGGGCTAAGCAAAAGTGTGTGGCAGACAAAGGTGTAAGACCCTTTGGGTCCTCCTCATTAGGGAGAAGAGTGAGATATAAATATCTAAACAGCAACAGCTAATAGTCCCAACGTCAAGAAGAGAAAGGCTGGAAACACTCTTTGAGGTACATGCAAAACACAGGCATTTGCTTATCGAGACACACTGACTTTCAGACTCTCTGCTAAACTGCCGGGGCGGGGAAGGCTGCTGAAGTTCAGCAATTCTGAAATTCCAGACTTTCTTTCTTCCCTACAAACACGTCAGCTTAATTCATGAGACTCTCTGGTCTTCCTGGGGAAGGATAATGTGGCTACATTTGTTTAACCAGCCGATGAACTTTCGAAGTGCCATGGAAACAGGAAGTACTTTTATATTTTGTTGCGATTTACAATTTTACCACTTTACGGGTTCTTTGTTTTTAAGCTACTGTACCTCATTTTGGGCAGAATACAAACTCAATCACCATGAAAAAATTAAGTAGCTCATTGAAGGAAATCAGTGAGGTTGCCAACTGGCCTGGAGAAAAGCATCCTATCCTTGTAATAGAGGGTTAATGTGTAGACACACGGGCAAACAACATTTTTCATGCCATTAAACCTCTATGCAGTCTGAACAGCCCAGACTAACCTGGCCTTGTCAAAACTTGGAAGCTAAGTAGTGTCAGCGTCAGCTTAGACCCGGGTTGCTACACTGAGGAAGGCAGCAACAAACCACCTCTGCTCATTTCTTGCCTTGAAAGTCCCATGAAAGGTTGCCATGTGCCCTGACCTGGATAGTCCATGCAAGCCCGATCTCATCAGATCTCAGAAGCTAAGCAGGGTCAACTCTGGCAAGTACTTGGATGGGAGACCTCCTTGGAATACCAGCAGTAGGGAGGCGGGGGCAGGCTTTATTCAGCCACCTCTCTGAATATCCTCCAGGGCCCCAGTAGGGGTCAGTCACCAGAGATCGCCATGACTTCCAGGTTCCACTTATATATAAAAAATACCTCCCCAGGTCACCATGAATTGGCTGTAACTCAATGGCACAATAAAGCCAGTTTGGTGTAGTGGTTAAGTGTGTGGTTTGATTCCCCACTCCTCCACTTGCAGCTGGCTGGATGACCCTGGGCAAGCCATCGTTCTGTCAGAGCCTTTCTTGAATGAGCAGTTCTCGAAAGAGCTCTCTCAGCCCCACCTACCTCACAGGATGTCTGTTGTGGGGAGGGGAAGGGAAAAGAGTTTGTAAGCCACTCTCAGACTCCTTTGGGTAATGAAGGGTGGGGTATAAATCCAATCTCTTCTTCTAAAGGAAAGGACATTTTTCTCCACACCAGTTGGTGACCTTAGAAACAGGGGTCTCTTGAATCAGCATCCTCAAAGCCAAATTCCCAGAGTCCATTGGGGGAAACCATAATAGGTCCAAAATGTGTTAAATCATACAGATAAATATACCCCAGTTTCTGCCATTAACATTGAAAGTCTGGACTGCCTATAAAGAAGCTAGCTAGACCTGACTAGATATCCCATCTCCAAAGTTCAAAGTAACCTAAGAAAAACCCAGTATACAGAAGCCTGCCACCTTATGTCAACAGCTGGTTCCCCTCAAACCATTGGCAGCAACTAGGGCTTAAATCAGCCAGCCTCAAGGCACAGTAGCCTGATAATTAATTACCTTCTCTACCAAGTCATCGGCAGTATCAAGTTGCAGATATTTCTTGCACAAATATATCTTAGACTTCCCTTGTGGGGGAAAAGACACCCCCCAACTCCTCACCATTTGAAGAGGCAAGGCCCATAACTTACCCAGAATATAAAGTTGAAGAAGAAAACCAAGAACCTGACACATTTCATGCCACCTTCAACCCCCATTTTGAACTTCAGACCCTGTAGGAAAAGCAATGGAGAAACGTCAGACCTAAAACCATTAAGGGAAAAAAAAGAAGAACTAGGAAAACGGCGCCATTATTAATGCAGATTGGGGGAGGGAATGAACAGGGAAGAAACAATATCAACGCATTCAGGCCCTCAAGGGAGGGTGTGAATCTAGTATTCATGGATAGAAATCCCCCAAGGGAACAGAAAACAGTCCTCCTCCCAGCAGCCAGTAGGAATACGAGGCCTCCTCCTCCTCCTCCTGGCCAGGTTCAACAGACTGGCTGAACTGCACCTACAAACACAGCCCTGACTGCCACAAAGTCCAGCTGCCCCAAATCAGGCCTCCTCCTCCTCCACACAGCTTTCTTCACCACACGAACATTTCCTGCATTTCGTGGCCGTCAAACGCTGCGGATTTACTACCCCCCTTCATAACATCGAATGTAAACGTCTGCTTAACAGGGACTCCATCGGACAAAGTGGGCTCCACACCACAAAAGCTTAGGCTAAATTTTTAAACAAACAAATAAACTAGGTGACTCTTTAAAGGCCTCACAAGACTCCTTGGCGTTACCTGAAGTAAGAAAAAGAATATGGCTGTTAGTGAAAGGAAAACACACGCACACACAACCTCCTAAGGAGGCGTGGGGGGGGGGGGGGAGAGCTTGT